TCCTCCTGAAAAAAGACTTTCTTAAAGCTTGTCAGCAGAAAGAAGTCTACTGCCTGGCCATACTGGGAAGCAGAGTCATAGTTTAATGCATCTCTGTGCTGCTTCTATACTGTTACGCACATATTGCACCACTGAGTCAATGGGCTGGTAAAATCTTGAGAGTTTGTTACCTGAACAGAAAATAACCAAATAGCCCAACAGGTTTTGCTCCTAACAGATCCATTGGAAGCAAATCCTAAATCTTAAGTATAAGAATATTAAATATACAAAATAAATAAGTATATAATATACTTATTTCATTATCTCTCAAAAAATTATTTCTCTTCAAAGACAAGAACATCTGCAGACCTGTGCACATTTGTTTTCATAACTTGGAAACTTGGGTTGGTTTGTCATTAAGTGTGAATAAATAACTATTTTTTCAAAACATTTTTTTTATGAATTTTTTAACAAGTTTATTTACAAAATCTTTTTAATCAAGAAACCAAGTGCATTAGCCCTGAAAGAAAATTGCATAATCATAAACCTTTATCAGACAATGCCGTAACAACCTTTAAGTTATTTGTTCGATTTTATTTTATCTCAGTAACACAGAACAACACAATAACCAAATTCACACACCATCAAAAACCGATGTCATTGTTAACAGCGTTACTACTTCATTGCATGTTGCATTAGACAATGTATCCCAGTTGAAAAGAAGGGAATTAGACCCTGGGAGACTGGCTTGCTGGTTTAAGTCAGAGCTGCATATTTTAACAGTGCATCTCCTGAGCCATTCAGCTCTCAGGAGTCAAGATTTCATGGGATTTTTTACAAATAAAATGCATTTTATGAGAAACAGAATCATTGACATCCTCCCCTGAAGAGGCCTTAAGAAAATGATGGAGCACAGGAGGTAAGCATAAAACCTTCTTTTTTTTCAGTTAAGCTTTCTGAATTTTTAAAACATTAGCTTCATCTTGCCTTCATCTTAAACCCAATTCCAACCAAATTATTCAGGAAAGCGTTTCCTTTGATTACCTTCTCCATTTTGGTTATGATTCATCTATCCCTTGCAAATGGATAATTACCAGAGTCTTTTAAGTTTGCTGTAATAAAACCACTCCTGAAACCCTTTTCTCAATCAAGATGACTTGGAGGGGACTTTTTATGCCTCCTTGAACAAGGTGGGATAGGTCTATGAGTCATACACAACATGCTCATTAATTTATTTGCACAAAATAATTCTCATGTAAAATTTCACCTGCTGAGTTCTGTCAAGCCTTCTGGTAATCTAAAGCATCCTGATAAAAATTAAAATAAAAGAAAAATATGATATTTCACTTTTCATATTGGCTCCCTGTTAAATTTAAAATTCTCTTTCTTGATAACCAAGCAGTGACATAGCAGAACTCTGATTGTCTTATAGGTTTACAACAGAACACTCTCAGTGTGTTCTCTGCAGGTTCCCTGGTTACTTTCTATCATTTGTAAAAGTAAGAATGGGAAGCAGATCTTTTAGTCTCCTGTGGAAGAGAAGTGTGACAGTATGTCAGCATCATTCACTTCAGACTGTCTTGCATAGATTTTCCAACCCAAATGACAAGTAGAACATTTTGAAGACCTATGTTAAGGCATTGTTTGAACAAAGCAGCTAGTATTCTGTAGCATTTACTGTTATGTGAATTGTGGTAACTTGCTGAAACATTCTGATTTTTGCTGTCCTGGCTTTCCACTCACTCTCTGATGTTGTCGAAAAGTTCAAACACTCACAGTATTAAAATCAACACAAAGAAAGAACAGTCACCAGTTTTGCTACATTTTATTTTGCTGCTTTCCATGCTCTCAAGACAGTCTGCCTGAACTTTTGAGTTACATTTCAACCTGAGATGCATCTCCAGCAGAAAATTTCCTGCTGTGAGGTAAATCTGTGAGCTGTAACTGAGAAAATGTCCAAACATTTTTCATGCATTCTCTTTTGAGTATTTCTCACACTGATACATCCTACTAAGTTTTCATGGCATTTTGTAGCATTTCTAAGGTTTCAGTTAGGATCTGAAAAAGTTTAGTTGCAGGTGAAATAAGGACAGTCTTCCAGTGGAAGGGATAACACACGAAACAAGTTGGGTTTTTTTGTTTTTCAATATATTGGTGATTATAAACTTCTAAGGCTGCACCTAAAATTCTAATGTTTTGTTAGGATTGGGGTTAACTTTCAGCCTTGTACAATTTTTTTTTTTTTTTGTATTTTCAGTACTATACTACATCTTGCATTACTCCAAAGCTGACATAAATCTAATCATCTGACTCAAAGCTATGAAGAGGAGGCAAAATAATGTTTGTCCAAACACTCTCAGGAAGATGTATGGAGGATTTTTTTTCTCTCATAGATTTTTCTGTTTTTCGAAATCTGGTTTTAACTTGCTTTTTTTTTCTACGCTAAAGGAGCATTACAAATTCAAGGAGTTTTTTCTCTCATGATATTTGCTCACAGGTGTTTTCACCTGTCCCAACTAATCACACCCTTTTCGTGAGAGTTATGGCTGCTGTTACATCCGAGTCTTCTCTTGATTTGTTATATTTACATTAGAAAAAAAATTATATGTCTACAGTGTATGAATGAAACATATCTTTTTAGTTTCACACTTCTGAAAAGTGTTATGCTGGTCTAAAAAGTATGGTTTTTCAGTATTTTGTTGTTGTTATTATTATTATTTTATTTAGCTACTGGGGTTAAATTCTTCAGTGACCAAAATAGCATTGAAAAAGATAACCTTTAAATAAAATTGACAAATGTGAAGGTATAGGATATATTCAGAGGTTCAAACTTAGATTTGTTTTCTGTAGTAAGGATGCTTGCTTTGATATTTTCTGTTGTTTATACTACAATGTAAATGCAGGTGCATCTCTACAATAAAACATTGCCTCCATAATTGTTATGGTAAGAAATCCCACATAATTGTCTATTTCAGTTTATATCCAAGCATTTTTTTACTTTTTTAAATTAAAGTCAATTTCACTTACCCAGTATGCATTTCTATTCTGTGTGCATTTCCATAAAGCCTCAACATTCTTGACTATGTTAGAGAGAATATGCCTGCATTTTGAGCAGTCTACTTGTTTCTTCTTACGCATATCAAAACCCGAATTGCTTATATTGCACACTGGGTTGGGAACAGCTGATGTGCAGTCTTGAGTTTGACATTTGCCCTTAGTCATCTGGGATGTTTGGAAAGAAAAGGGAAAAGCTGAACAGTGTTTCTTACATCACAGTTGTGTCACTTTCAACATTTCAACCAGACTTGATCCTTTGCTATGGTGAAATTAGGTAAAACATTTAACTAGTCTTTCTGAAGATATTTTGGGATTCACTTTCTGAGTTACAGTCCATTGAAGCCTGGGGCTTTTCTGGGTCAACAGTTGATTTGTTTCAGTGATAATGCACTTTGAATTATTTTCTCATTTTTGAGTTGGAGGCTATTTTTCTTACTTTATTCATGTATTATTATATTTTTAACTTCATAACTAGCAAATTAAGTCTTTACATTTATAAACCTTCAGTGTACAATTGTTGGCTTCTGGCATATGATGGTAAAATCCAAATAAAATATTTCTTCATTGCCTCAAGTAGCAAAGCAATGTTACTTGAGGCAATGATGTTTTCTTTTTTCAGTTTTATTTTCTCCAGTTAATGCTTTAGTGAAACATGGATCTTTTTTTTCTGAAACTTGCATTGTTTTATACATGCATTTTCTGCAATCTGATAGAATAATTGTGGATTGAGCAGTCAGGTTCTTTATTTTAATGTTTTCTCAACTCATTTATCAGCTTGCTGTGTGAACGACAAAGCTAATTAATAACTGTAGCTTATCCAATGACACAGAGACAGTTCTTGCTTGCTGACCAGCTGTAAGCTGTCAGACATCTTTGTCTCCATTATCTTTTAGAAAAAAAAACATCCAGCAGTCCTAAGCTTACATGGCTTAAGTCTCTGCATGAAATCACAACAGGGGAGAACCTCACTCATCATGGCATCAAACAGGAAGTACCGGAAATCATTTTCACCTTGTATTCACCCCTCACTGGGCTCATAATTGCAAGAGATAGGTGAGCTCCGAGTCTGCGGTCCATTACCATACACCCATGGACAATGATTAATGGTCTGTTAAGACTGAACAGCAAATGGATGCTCTCATACAGTGTCCATAAGCTCATATACCGTCAAATATGTAGCGTTTTTTTATAAGGCCTTTTCTTGTTCTCCAGAATGTTGAGAGGAAAAAAACTGGCACGTGATGGCATACATGTAGCACCGAAACATATATGCAATTGCACTTGCACTTAAAATTTCAGTGCAAGTGTTTATGATCATTTTACACTTAGTCACGACTGTGCCACCACATTGAATTAACTTTACTGAATGTGACCATTACTATGAAATTAGCATTGTTTAGGAAAAAAATTCTTTGAACATCTCTGGGAGGTACCGAGATCAAAAGCTTGCCATGGCAATTTCTACCCTATTGAGACTTCAAGATTATGTGCTACTATTTAGCATTGTGTCATTATTCCCTTTGTCAGTCCGCTTCTTTCTGCCCTCCCCTCATGTACAGACTCTGTAATTGATTGCCGGTCACCTGATGCACATCTGTCATCAGCTCTTAAGGAAGTATTATCTCCTGAATCCTTTGGTCTCTGTGCTACCATTGTGAGTTTATTATCTGTTCTGCTCCTGCTGGATCATCTGTGGTCTTTGGTGGCCTTGCCTTTATAGATAACCTGCTCTTAAGTGGTTTTAATTTTGTTCTGTCTGTGACGAATAGAAGAGTTCTAAGGCTTTGAGTTCACTTCAGCCTTTGAATTTTGCTTTTGGATCCCTTCTTTTCTTGCACACCATAAAACCATTGAGCTGACAGTCTAACATTTTTCCATGGAAAAAACAAAAATGCTATAGAAAACATAACGGGTGAATTAAAGGTTCTATTTTTCTGTAAAAGAAAAAAAAATCTTCAACTCACCGATGGGGCTGGTTTTCCTCCTTTTGCTGTGCAGACAAGAGTAAAATTCTGAGCTTGGTATCGACTGAAGGGGGCTGGAGTGTTCTCAGCCAGCACTGATATGTTGTTTGGAGGAGCTGTGAAGGAAGAGAGAAATCTTGGTCAAACAACAATTTAATAACGTATGTTACGTTGATTAAAAAAAAAAAAAAAAAAAAAAAAAAACATGGACATAACTGTTCATCATTTTATAGTTTATCAGTGGTCAGGTAGTTAACTTCTACTGCAGGAGTTTGCAACGTGCAGCTCTGGAGCATCCCGTGGCTTCCTGGGTGCTTCACAGGAAGCCACAGGTAGCTCTTAATAAGTTTGATGGTGGAATGTGCAGAACTGAGTAGGGTTGTTTTTCTTTTTTTTTTTCTTTTTAGAATAAATTTCAATAAACATATATATATATATATATATATATATATATATATATATATATATATATATATATATATATATATATATATATATATATATATATTCAATATCTGCATAGGAATTCTACAAACTATATTCTTTAGGCTTCAAACTATAAGCTTTTCTTCATTTTCCACAACCACAGAACATTTGTCATCCAGAATAAAACGCCTGTTTTCTTTTGTTTTAATTAAATCGACTGATTGAGATTTTGATGTTAAACTAAATAATCACAACATTGTTTCAATTAACACAAAATAAATCAAATTTTAAACAAGCAGTTCAGCATCTTAACATTTTAACAGTCTGAGGCAATTTTTGGTTAACTTTAAGACATCGACTCATTTAATAAAAATACATTTTATTTATAAAGCCCTTTATATCTCCAACTGAAATCTCAAAAGGCTCTATTCATGAGAACCAAGGATAAAAATAGTTCTGTCTTTGATTTGTTGACTGATGATCTAAAGCATGTGTATATATAAAAGTACTTTCATAATAAACAGAAATATTTTGACATTTAATGAGTGAATGCAAAATATTCATTTAGATCACTGAAATTTCCAGGAAGATCTCAAAGTATGAAATGGAAATGTAAGCTTTCACTTTGCTCAGATATTGTTTTCAAAAGGCTTTCATCCTCTGCTCAGAACACTTTTGCGCTTTTCCGGTAAATTATTTCACTTGAGATTTAGCTGTGAGATTTTTCCACCACAAAAGGCCCAAGCTCTGATCAGGAATTCATATAACCTACTATATAGTAATGCAGTCATGATGTGAGATAAGGATATCTTTAGAAGTTACGATTTATGAATACAAGTGTCACGCTTTAAGGCAGAAATGCTGACAAAAGAAGGCCATAGAAGGAGTGGTGCCTTTTTAATGTGTCCGTTTTTATGAGTAAATCTATCTAACACTTTTAAACAGACATGCCATAGCAATTAATTGATTTAAAGAAGGTAGGGGGTTTACAACGGGATTCAGCTGCTGGCCTGGGTGGCTCTGTGTTTCCACATCTCTTAATTGCTTATTGATAGAACTCATATGGTTGTAAATTAACCTTAGAACACTCCATTAGCTTACTGACAAGCCTGCTTCACTGTGGCATATGATTAGCTGTCAGTGGTCTGCTCCTGAGTTGTCATGCTTTAGGATTTAACACTGAGGTTATGCATAATGCAGTTCATCTAGCAGAGTCAAGTTAGGCCAAAACATAAAATGCATATAGAGTGATAACAATATGAAACAATATAAATTTCTTCAATTGTATTTAGAGAAATTTTCTTTCTGGATACTCCAGCAAATGTGCACTCAACATTGTCCCTTAGTCCAATTGGAAAACCATGGTGTAAGCTATTTAGACAGTATTAGCATTTCTAAATTTAAAACATCAAGGTTTTGTATAAATATGTAGCATTTTATACACTAAAACAAGACATTGTAAGTTAATTATTTTTATTAACCCTCTCCAGGCAGATGTTGCAGATTTGCAACAACTTAGCTAGTCTCTGCAAGTAATTTGAGCCTGAGAGGGTTAAACTGACAACTTTAAAGATAAATATTGATGCTGAGATAAATAATTGTACTCGCCTGTCAAGCTAGTTGAGGAAAACTGTACATTGATCAGGGTGCTGTGTTGAATTTAGCCCATGGGAGGGGGCCACCTAATGGGAAACTAAGCCTGAGACAGCAATAAGCCCTGGTATAACATTTGACATGATTAATACTGAGACCTACTGTGTGTAGCATGCTATTTGCAAACACAACAGGCCTGTACAGGATTAAGATGGTTGGCTGTGACGATGAATTCTAAGCTTTTCATACTTCATTAGTCAGCAGATCTCTCCTCTCCACTAGTTAGAGATTCAGCTCCATTTTCAAATAGAATTGAATTTACTAAGATGGTCACACTTTAAGGCTAATTTGAAAACAACACATAAATATTTCAGTTTTTCAATTAAAAATGGTGCAGTTTGATGCAACAGCTTATGTTGATTTACTCCTCATATAGACTGGAGAAAGAGAACCACAGTCAAACTAACACTAATCTTCATGTAGGCGTAAGGAGGGGGAAAGTGACAAAAAAAGAGGGTCACTCCACTGATTTACTTTCACCAGTCTATATCTGTATAACTATTAATTTATTCTTTTTTCTGTTACACCCCACTGTCATAACCCTAACAAATCTGGAAGTTATTTCTGAGTGTTGCAGCTACTGTGTTTGATCATTACTAAATCTAGCCTATATATTTTTTGATTTTAGTTTTTGGTTTTCTTGTTAAGCTCTTTGTCTTGAATCGCTTTGCAGTTTCTGCTGGTTACTCTTCTTTACAAGTCTACTTTTTTTGATGAGTGAATAAATAATTAAAAAAAAACTTTCATTGAGAAGCCTAAATCAAATGCATCCATGACAAGTAATTATGCCCCATAGCTAACCTAACACTTTGAATAAAAGATCCTTGAAAAGACCATTGATCAAAATAATTTGACAAATGACTGCACCTCAGCCCGTCAATGAAATTTCTGAAGTTGGCACATGAAACTACTGTAATGTACTGATGCAGGACTGTAACATGCCTGTAAATGAACATGGCAACAGTGGACCAGTTCTGGTTGCGAGGAACCAGCATTTCTCAGGCATGAGCTGGTCCTCATACATAGACAATGTTTGGAAGAGTGACCAGCGGAGACTATGTTTCCAGTAGCAACTCAAGAAATACAATCTTTCACAGGAGCAGCTGCTAATCTTCTACACTTATTATTCAGGCAGTACTGTGTTCCTCCATCACTGTGTGGTTTGGCTTACAAGGCAGAACTGCAGCAAACATTCAGATCTGTAGAGATCACCCTTAGGGGTGAGATTTTCCCTGTGCAGAACTTATATAGCTGTATGCTCAGGAAAAGGGCAGCTAACATCTCTGCAGACCCCACACATCCTCAACACAAAATGTGAACATTTTTACCTCCAGCTCAGGAGGTAAAAATTTTACCTATTAACCACAACAGAGACAAATTCTTCAGATAAAACGTCTGTTTGAATCAACAGCATGAGTACACAACTTTTTCACTTTTAAACAAAACAAGCATATGTGGCCTATTCTAACCTGCCTAATCTTATTTGTCAGACCAGGATTTGTTTGTGCCATTTAGCAGTTACAAATCTGAGCAAAGAAAAGATCACAGTTTCCTCAAGGCACCATTCTGGGCAATAAATGCTCCCCTTGTCTGTCTGGTCTCTGTAAGGTCCACTGCTCACTATAGCTCCAGGGACCAGAACTATACTGGATCATGTATCCTCAGCTGATATGTTGCTCAGTTCTAGATCCGATTCCCTAAAAGCTTGGGATGAGCAGAAATCATCGACTTGCTTACAAGCAACACAGAACATCAACTTCAATATTCCTATAAAGATCAAAGATTACCATGTCAGTTTATTTTCAACCATCTGTTTTTCAGTTTTATTTTATTATTTTTTTCCATATCACTCAACTGATACAATTTTCCTTTAATATATGTGTTCCATTAATGTATTTATTCAATTTTTTTTCTTAGTTACTTCCCTTTTATGAATAGAACATTGAATTTTTAAAAGGTAACTTACTTTTATTTGCTTATTTTTTGGTGTGGTTTGTGAGAAAACATTCTTACTCTCTGTCCAGTGCAATAACACAAATAAAGAGGCAGTCTGGGGCGATGGTCTGAATTTTTAAGAAAAAAAAAAAGTGAAAGATTTTTCCAACTATTGACAAATCACACTTCTCAGCCTTTCTGGGCAATAATGACAATGTGCAACTGTTTTGTAGAGTAAAAGAAAAGGCTTCTTTTATGGCCAAAATGAGAGCTGTGTCCACATTATCAGTAAAAACCCAAGCATATATTCCCAGTGTGAGGACTCCAACTGGGCTGCACCCTGGCCATTGATCCATTTTGTGATGTTAAAGGAAAGGGTTTGAAGCCATAGTTGTGCAGAGGAGAGTCTGGCTTGAAAATCTCGGAATAGTGTTTAAAACATCAGTTATTTCCATCAGTCCTAGTAGAAACACTGATGTTCATGACAATTTTTTTCTTGGTCAGTCTCTTGTTTACTAACACCTGTTTTTGTTCTAAGTCTCTAAGCACTATTATGCTGGTAATTTTCAAAGAGAATGTGAGAAGGAAAATATAAAACCTGCTAATGGATAAGTGAGAAAATCTGCAGCCTGTTCAATGCCTCAAAGAAATCTCTATCATCTTTAAGAAATATAAAACTCAAACTTAATCTACATGTGCTAGAATACGTGAAAGATATTCTTCTGCTTTTATTGAAAGTTTCAACATATTTTTTCAACATATTGCCATTTAGTATTAGTATTAGTATTAAATTAGAATGTGTTCCAATGAGTCCTGTTTATTAGATTAAAAGTACCATTTCAACTTGTTAATAACCATTAACAGGTATTAAACACATTTTTTAGTGAGCCCACATTCATATATAAAAAAATGATTTTTTATTTGTCTTATGTAGGATGCTGAAGTCCATTTCTGGAGCACAAGATGAAACCTTTCTCCCAAAAAACTGAATCAAATGGATGAATCCCCTCATCAGCAGCCATTAAGCTCTGCACCTCTCTGGTTATGAGCCATTCATTTGATTCAGGTGTGCTGAAGAAGGGATACATCTAAAAGTCGTAGA